TCGATCTAGGCCAATGTGCAATACCAGTATGTTTGTGTCTACCGATGGTGCTGTAAGTACCTCACGGATTCCTGCTTCTCCACACCCTGGCTAAACCAAAGCCGTTGCTTGTGAAGTTGTTAAAGTCTGTTGGTGAACAAAAAGCCTCTTACACTATCAAAGAGGTCATATTTTTATCTTGGCCAGTATATTGTGACTAAAAGCTTATATGATGAGAAACAACATATATTGTATATTGTTCAAATGATCTTCTAGATTTGTTTGGCGAACCAAGCTTCTCTGTGAAGGAACACAGGAAAATATATACAATGGTCTAAAGAAACTTGATAGCAGTCAGTCAGCAGGAACCATTAGACTCTGGCACATCTGTGAGTGAGAACAGATGTCATCTGGAAGATGGGAGTGAACGAGGGGATCCTAGGCAAGAGCTACAAAAGAGAACCCCTTATTAAGATTTCATATCTATCCATCTACTTCATCTAGAGAGACACCAATTGGTGAGACAGAAGAAAATTCAGATGAACTGTCTGATGAATGACAAAGAACATACCACAAATCAGATAGTCTTTCTCTTTCTTTTGACAAAAGCCTGGCTCTGTGTGTAATATGGCAGATGTAGAAGAAGTAACAGCTGGGAACTGACAGATTCCATCAGATCTGACCTAGAGCGTTCAGGTGATTGGTTGTATCAGGATGCAGCTTCAGTGTAGAATTTGAAGTTGAAATCTCTTGATTCAGAATATTACAGTTTTAGTGAAGAAGGACAAGAACTCTCAGATGAAGATGATGAGGTATATCAAGTTACTGTGTTTTAGCAGCAGAAAGTGATACAGGTTCATTTGAAGAAGATCCTGAAATTTCCCTTGCTGACTACTGGAAGTGTACTTCATGCAATGCAGTGAATCCTCCCTTTCTATCACATCGCAACAGTTGTTGGGCCTCGGTGAGAACTGGATTCCTGAAGATAAAGGAGCATCCCTGAAAAAGTCAAACCATAACCCTAACCCTAAAAAACTCAACACATGGCAAATGATTTCAAAGAGTCATATGTTGAGGAAAATAATGATAAGGTCACACAAGCCTCCCAATCACAAGAAAGTGAGGACTAGTATCAGCCATCAACTTCAGTAGCATTATTAATAGCAGCCAAGAAGATGTTAGAGTTCGAGAAGAAAGAAACACAAGTTAAGAAATGTGGAATCTAGTTTTCCCTTTAATGCCATTGAACCTTGTGTGATTTGCCACGGTCAACCTAAAAATGGTTGCATTGTTCATGGCAAAACAGGACACTTTATTCATGTTTCACATGTGCGAAGAAGCTAAAGAAAAGAAATAAGCCCTCCAGTATGTATACAACCCATGTAAATGATTGTGCTAACTTATTTCAATTAGCTGACATCCATAAAAGTATACATTTTAATTATATAAGCCTAAAAATTTAGGCAACACAGATTTTATAAACATCAAAGCAATAATAAGGGCATTTATATAACTTATTTAGTGCCTTTTGTGTAAGGAGGAAAAGTATGTGGAAAGATTTAATATTTAAAATGTAGAATACTCTGAAACACCAATCTTTAGTTTCTCTCCTTTTTCAGAAATTCAGAAGAAGGTGCTATGTTATGTAGGTAAAAATATACCACTTAAATAAGTGATAAGAATCTTCAGCAAAATAATGAAAATAACCAGAATTCATAAGAACAATTGAGATTATAAATGACAGTGTACATAATAAATGTTATTCAACATTCACTCTTGCAAATTGGGTCTCGTTTTACATGTTAATTACTAAAGTAGTCTTGAATGTCTAAATTTTTAGGCTTAATGTATATTATTTATTGACATAAATATACGATTTATTAAACATTAAAAAAAAGAAATTCCATTTCACCTAGCTATATGCCTTCTAGGTATCTTCCTAAAAGCGTTAAAATCATACTACAGGGATACACGCACACCTATGTTTATAGCAGAAAAATTCTAAATAGCTACATCTTGAAAACAGCATATATGTCCATCATCAGATACATGGATAAGGAAAATGTGATATTTATATACAATAGAGTACTATGTTGCCAGAAAGACATTCATAGGTAAATGGATATAATCTGACAATATAATGTTACATGAACTAAATCAGACTCACAAGCTCAAATACTGCATTGTTTCTTATATATGAATATATATTTGCAAAGAGCAAAATAGAAGGATAAATAAGTAGGGAGAAATTCAAATACATTCCCAATTACATATTCCATTGTTTTAAAGATATTTCAATATATATGCTAATTTGTTTTATTTATACTGTTTGTCCTTGTTGAAAATGATGTTTGTGTTATTAACTGCTGCTTTTTTTATAAGAATCTTTGTAGTTTATGTCTTGTACAAAAAGTACCTACTTGAAGATAATAAAGTGTAATGACTTTTATTATTGTTATTCTTTGTCATAAAATTCAAAAAAGTAAAGAACAACATTTCTTCTGAGGTTGCAAAAGTCTCATTTTGTCCAGGGGCTATGTCTAAATTTTAGGAAAATGGAATTGCAACAAAGGCCCTCAAAACTAAAACATTGGGTGGAGAGGCAGGCTGCACTGCTCATTACCTGCTACAGCAGATCTCATCATTGGTCCCAATTCGTTATACCTTTTGCTGTGTGACTTTGTAGTTTGCTCTACCAAAGGGGCAGAAAATATTTTCCTTTGACTTTGGGTTTGGCCAACTGACTTGCCATCGCCAATACAATAAGGCTGAAATCACAGTGCTCCAGTTCTGAGCCTATCCTTAGGATCCACTGCAGGTTTGTGCTTATCCTTAACGACCTTTGCACGCTGTGAGCACAAGGTCATGCTAACCCACTGGTTCCAGAGGAACAAAGACACATGTAGCAAAGGTAAACTGAGCCACTCAAGCCTATAGTCTATCTCCCACTGAATCCAGATGCAAGTATACGTGAGCCAAGATTCAGCAGAATCCAGTCAACACTCAATAATAATAGATACAAGCTATCTATGCTGCTGTATTGTAGGGTAATTTGTTATGCAGCACTTTGAGGGGCAATAGCTAGCTGATACATGAGAGTCTGAGCTCTGGGGATACACTAGTTATTCTGGTATTATCAATTACTGAGTTCACATAGCAAATCTGGTTCTGACTACATCCTTAAAAAGCCAAATTAGAATCAAAATGGCTGTAAGCCATAAATTGCTTTACTGACCATATGCCTAGTTTTACAACTTAATACATAAAATGTACATTATGTACATTTCAATAGAGATGGATTTGATCATCAATTAATGGGTAGGAAGAGTATCAGGATTATCCCAAATTAATACTTAATTTGGGCTCAAATGAGCATTTTCCCACCACAAAAAGTTTTCTATTATCCAAAATAAATTTCCAGTATTTATAGTTTGCCTCAAGATAAAATAAATTCATATATTTTTATTTCTTGCTACTTTTTTCCCTTCTTTCAAAAGTATCTTCTTTTGAAAGATCTACTTAAAATTAAAATAAGCTAATCATTTACAAAACATCTTTAGAATTGGTTTCTATAATTATCTCCAGAGGCCCTTCTTCCTAATGTTAAACAATTCTATTTTCCACTCCATGGATTTAAAGTAATATTCTAAGCATGGCAAAACATGGTACCACTCTTACCTGAGTAAAAGTAATGCTAATCAATATTTAAGTGGTTTACAGGCATATATATGTGCTGGGGAGGAAGACAATGTATCACCTTCCTTTAATAAATTTAAATAGAAAAAGAATCATAGTATTGTATTACTTTCCCTTGATGAATAAAAGATTGTTTATCATGGAAAGTAAAAATGTAGTACAGTCCCTGATTCATAATGGGACATTTCTTTTATTCCATTCAAACTTAACATTCACTTTACAAAAAAAAAGTCACTATTGCATTTTATAAAATAACTCAAAACTGATGATTGCTTTGAAAAATGGCAGTAAATCTTATGGAGGCTAACTTCAAAAGGAATAATCTTCAGAAGGCATTATTACAAAAGGAAACCATTCTCTGAAATGTGGCACAATGATTCAGGACCAAACACTTAGATCCTAAAAGAAGTCTAAAATAAAAGGTTGGCAAAGAGGAAACAGAAGACTTCTGGAGAGTTCACCTTTAGCCTTGGGGGAGTCACATACTGTGGGAGGAAACCCTGAAATAATAAAGAGATGGTCTGTTTGCTTGGATCAGGACAGCCTACTCCTCTCCTTCACCTCCCTCCTGCAATGGAAACACTGCTTGTTGCTAAAGCAGACCTCACTGTGAAGTATGGGGGGGGGGTTAAAAGAATTTTTATATAATAATAATTTAATTCATAATGTTTCAAAAAGTCAAATATTAGCAATTTTCTATAGTTTCAACTTAATGCAGTGACTAAACATAAAATATCCTTCCAACACACAAATACACACAGAAATTAGAAATAAAAGCTTCATCGTGAGATATATAAAACTGCAAACAAGACCCAAACTATCAGCTAGGCATGTTTGCAATCCCAGATATCTGGGAGGTTCAGATAGGAAGATCACAATTTGAAGCCAAAATGGGCAACACAGTGAGACTTTATCTCAAAAACACAGAAATAAGAACTAACTATACCCCCCAAATAATAGCTGTTGTTAAATTATTTTATAACAAACCTTCTGAAAAAAATTTTTTGGGGGTAGTGAACTTACGCCTGCTATGCAAGCACCGGCCACTGAGCTATACTCCAGTCTTTCTTTTACTATAGATTTTATTTTGAAACAGTCTAAGTTGCTCAGGCTGGTCTTAAACTTGGAATTATCTTCCCTTGGCTGCTTGAGTAGCTAGGATTATAGTCATGTGCTACCACATTCAGTTTAAAATAGCATCAAAAGTCACCAAAATACTGTTTACCACTTTGGTGAGGAAAAACGAACATTCAGGTTTGGGACCTGGAGTCAAGAAAAGTGAGCTTCTCAGAACAAAGTATTTGAAAGAAAAAAACCAGACCTACCTGGAGAGCAACAGTTTACCCTGGAGCTGCAGGTCGGCAGCACAATCCTCAGATCGGCAGTTCCTTTCAAAGATAGTCTGTGAAAGACACACAGGAAGGCTGGATTAGGATTTCGTGGCAAATGAGTAAATAAGGGCCAATCCCCTCCTTGAGAAGTGTTCCCTAGACTTTTATTGTTGTCCTCCCCCCTCCAAGAAGTCAGCTGCCTACATGGTGACAGAAATCTCCTTAAGGTTCCCAAAACCTCCAAGTTGACAGTGTCTAGATGTCAGGAGTCCATCCTTACGTGAATCACTTCTCAATCCACTGAAGTACATTCTCAGGAGTGTTTGCAAAAAGCATCTGTGACAAGTGTCCCGTCAGGCTGTGCTTATCTAAGAATAGCTTTGAGATGCTGTCAGATGGATCCAGTTGAGTCAAGAATTAGAATATAGGCTATTGTTACTGTTCACAATAGCCTGCTATGCATCTGCTAGGCCAGATTGTACTTTCATTTTGCTTTTATCCTTTCTTTTCTTTGGCCCAAGGTCACTCTGCAGAGCCAGTTTTCCCTTATCCTTCACTCTTCATTTTTTGAATCAGTTTTTGGCACCATTTAAAAAAAAACTAGACTTTAGTCTGCTCACTTCTCCAACTTGTTCTTTTGAAGAGGCATAAAAATCTATATTTGAGATAGATTCTGCCTGAGAGATGGAACCATATTGAAGTTTTATTCCCAAAGGAAATGCGGAAGCCAAGCAGGCCATTGGACTGAGGGCACCACAACAGAACAGGAGAGATTTTTTTTTTTCCAGTTTCTGAGTGAATCAGCCAACATTTTGTAGAAAATAGTGTTTTTCTCTAACCAACATTGGACTTCCACAATCAAAGCCCCACCTAGTGCCCTGCATGCCAAAACCCACATCATTTCCAGAAAGTTTGCCTGAGCTCTGGCCTACCCATGGAGGACAGCCAGGAAATCAGGGAGCAGCACTCTTCCAGGGGCTAGAGCTGTCTTCCCTCCATGGTATCCAGAGGGAATACCTTTCTTCCCTCAGGCTGGTATCTACCTTGCTGCTGTTTCTGTCTAGGGATAGACCGCAGTCTCCCTATGCTCCAGATGATGGAGATGGCTTTGCTCATTCTGGTAGGATTTGGATAGAAGAGCTTCTTTCCCATTTTAGCGATAATTTAATCAAGTTCTTTGTTGTTAACCACCCACGTTTGTGAGCGTCTTCCTACCTACCCGCATACACTATAAGTTCCAGGTGGTTTGTTTCCTTCTCCTAGAGTAAATCCAGAAAGCTTCTCAGGTTGTTAGCATGGACTGCAACAGATTTGTTGGCCAATGAACAGTCTAGACTCCACCAGACAAAGTAATTTTGCCTATGGAAATTCATATTCATGTGCCACATTTCCAAAAGAATAAAGTGTCCCAGCCAAATTCCCTTCCTTGATTATGGTGGAAAATCATGGAAGTCTTAAGCATGAAGAGGAAATTCCCTTGTTCTTTTGAATATTACAAGGTTAAGGAGAGAGCCAAATTTCCAAGAGATTTCAATACAAGATTATTGTGCCTTTCTTTCCATCTCAGCCAAGGAGAAAAGAGAGGAAGAGTAAACAGGGACGGCACTGATGTCTCAGGAAGACAGGAAGGCCTGTGAGCTTTAGGACTAGAATAAGAACCAAGGTGGCCCCACTACTAAGCTGATGGAATGTAAGCTTGAATGTTCCATGCTGATATGACTTCTACTAAGGCCTTGAATCTAAATTTGTATTCATAATTTTATGCATTCTTTTTTTTGAAGATTTTCTATCTACTATCTATCATAAAACCCCAGATCTACTCCTTGGTTACAGCTCCTTTCTTGCATGTGTCTTTCCCATTTCACAGTTAAGAGAGACAGCCTGACTTCCGGGCGCTGTGGGCAGCATGCGGTGAGAGGAGGAGTAAGAAGAGAAGAACTACAGAGACTATGACCTACATACACCCTGTGGCAGAGACTGTGAAGTCTAGCCCCTGCCCTCCTGATCTCTGCCACCCTTCTCTCCTGCCACTGAACCTTACAACTTCAGCTGTGCATATGAGTAAACATGATGAAATTTCCTACTTGATGGGGAAATGAAAAACAATGGAGCCAAAGAGTGGACATGAATTTACTTCTGTGTAGGTGATAATACTTTCCAAGAATCAATGCCATGATATCTCCTATCATTCTCCTTACGAAGTGACTTTATAAGGAATCAGGATTTGTGGAGACAGTGGAAATAATGCTGAATGATTTACAAGGCAAGGCCATAAAAAGCAACAGAACTTCCTTCTAGCTCTCTTGGGGCATTTGTTTGGGGAAACTGACCACTCTGTGCCAAGGAAATCCTGCTTTCCATGGAAAGGGTCACATGGACAGCTGCTGAAAGCCACATTAGCTTGTGAGTCAAGTGTGTGACTCAGGGCTGGGGATATAGCTCAGCAGTACAGCACCTGCTTGGCAAGCAGAAAGTCGTGAGTCCAAGTCCCAGTACAAAAAAAAAAATGGGAGTCAACGTAGAAATGGGACTTGGGGGTCCTGAAATCATACTGAAGCACCCCAGCTTATAGGGACTGCACACAGAAGAGATTAAATTCCATGGTCAAGCCCCACCAACTGCAAATTCACAATTTTCTCATTTTATTGCTATTACTGATTTCTAGTTTATTGCACTGTAGTCAGAAAAAAATACGTGCTATTTTAGTCTTAACTTCAGATTTGTTTTGTGACCTAACATATGATCCATCCTGGAGAATGTTCCTTGTTCACTTTTTTTAAAAAGTGTGTCTTCTTGTTAATTTGAAACTTGTGTTTATGTATGTCAGGTCTGCTTGGTCTACAGTAGTAGTCAAGCCTAGTATTTATTCACTGATTTTCTGTCTAGACGTGTAATCCATTATGGAAAATGAGGTACTGAAATCTTCTACTATTACTGTATTTAAATCAAGGTCACCTTTCAGATCTGTCAACAGTTGTTTTTTATGTGTTGATACTATGATTTTGAACGCATGTGTATTCATAACTGCTATATCTTCTTTTTGCTACTACCGAGTAGTAAGTAACCTTCTTTGTCTCAGAGACATTTTTTACTTAAAGTCTACTTTGATTAAGTATGAGTCATTTCTGCTTTGCAAAGCAGAATTACCATTTATGAAGTCTTTTCCCTTTCTATATGTATCCTTAGTTTAATAGTAAGGCTCTCAGAGATAGCATACAATTTGATCTTACATGTGTGTATATGTGCAGATTTAATCCATTCAGTCACTATGTATTTTTACTTGAGAGTTTAGTCTATACATTTAATATACTGGTAAGGACCTACTACTGTTATTTTGTTAAGTATTTTCTATGTAATTTCTTTTGGTCCTTTTTACTTCTTTGTCTTTAAAAATTTTTTTGTATTTATAGGTTTTGATCCTTTTTCTTTTGTGTAACTTCTATAGGCATCTCTGTGTCACCTAGTTTACATAAATTATCCTGTAGTTGTAATATGAACTGATAATAACTTTACTTGCATTAAAACACTTGTTTTCTCTTTTCTCCCCATTATATGTTTAATATCCTACTTTACAACTAATATTATGTATACCTTAAGATAATTTGGTTACAGTTATTTGTCTTTTACCAAGCTTAGATAACAATTATAGAAATGAAAATTACTACCCACCACTTTTACAATAATGCAATATTGGTTTTTTCTAAATATTTGCCTTTACCACTGAGTCCCCTACTTCATTATGCTCTGTTATTGGTGTTTAGAGTCTTTTCAACTAAAATTCCTTTTAATGTTTCTTGTAAAGCAGGCCTCGTGGTGAAAAAAGTCTTTACTTTCCCCTCACCTTTGGAGGGCAAGTTTTCTAGGTACAGTATTTTCGGTTGGCAGGTTTTTTCTTTCAGCACTCCAGATCTATCATTCTGCTCTTTTTGACCTTTAAAGTTTCTGCCAAAGGAAATTCCAGTAAAGATGGCAGATAGACAACAGCAGGTTACAGAGGCTCCCTGAGATAGTCAACTGAGATTTCAAAATAATACAGCGTGGGGAGTTCTGAACAGAGGGAGATGAATATTCTCGATCCAGAAAGAAACTAAGATGACAAGAACCAATCAAACATACAGTCCCGGTGCTACTACTGGGAACAGCTAAAGGCTTGGTGAACCCACTGCAGCACCTGTACTCACGCAGCCCTGACATACAGAGCTGCCCAAAACCCCACGGCTTCAAATCACTGGAAACGCAGTCACACTGAGGTTGGGGGTCAGCGAGCCAAATGGAGAGCTGAGCTGGTGAGGAACCTGCTTCGACCTGCGGTGAGTGCTAGGAATAAAACCATTCCACAGAAAAAGGGCTCCAACAGATGACATTCTGGGACCAGGGAGAGTGGCAAGAACAAGGAGAAGCAGTGACTTCAGTGAGTTGCTCCCTTCCCAAATGGGATTGGTGGGGTGTACTTGGCCTGGGTCATGCCCCTAGCTGAGATTCAATAGGTTTTCCCAAACCAATTCCCTACGCCCCATGTACACTAATGCAGTGAAGGCCTAAGCAGGTTGAATGACCCAGAGGGGAGGGGCCACCATACACTGCCCCTGTTTGCACTTCAATAGCACCCTGCAGTGGGCAGGACCATCTAGCCAGTGTGCTTCAGAAGAAGAATTATAACCAACAAAGAAAGAAACTGGGGCCTTATATACACCTGTATGGAAGAAACAAAAAATATGAGAAGAGAAAAAGTCCCAAGAAAAAGTCCCAAGCCCCCAGCCCTGAGAACATTGATCCAGGAAAGATAAATACAAAGGAGATTGAGCATAGCAAACATACAATATCAGGCACGGCACCAGTGGACATAAAGAAATATCTTCAGGACCTCACAGACGAGTTCAAAAGTGAAATATTTAACCAAGTCAAGCAAGATATAAATAGATTAATAAAAGAAATGCTAAGCACCTCCCAAGAAGACACAGATCGAAGAATGGAGGAACACACACAAAAAGGGGAGAATCATTTGATGAAGAATATAAAGAAAACATAGAGTATATGAAGCAGGTTCAAAGAGATTATCAGAAAATTAAAA